TATTGTATTAATGTCTGCTTGGGTCTGGAGCAAGAGATTTTAGCTGAGCAGGAGCTTTGGCCATCACCTGTAGCTCATCTCCACCTCCCCATATGGTACAAATCCAGGAGGATTTTGCAGCAGGAGGAGGTGATTGCTTTACTCAGTGCTGTAGGTTCACCTGAGCTGCCCTTTTGGGAGGCTTTGAAGAGAAATATATAGATCCAGAGGACAATTCTGATGGCAAAGAGCACGTGGAAGCCCGCTTGGATTCAGGGGTGGTTTTGCAATGGGAGTACCTCAGAGTTACCTTGAATTAAATTGTCTTTTAATGGCAGGGTTCCATTCTGTCTTTAKGCTCCTGGGATTATGGGTTCTGCTGTAAATATGTGTTTAGCATTAGAGTAAAATGCTGTGTCAATACACTGCACACTGGTTGCCTGTTTCAGCTGCTGCTGTTTCCACCGCGTGTCGCTGATTAGAGCTGGGCCTGGCCAGGGGCCAGGCTGGTGCTTGATGCACTGAAAACCCAGAGTGGTCTATGAGAGATGTTTATGGCATATTGTTCCTCTTAGTGCACTCTGTTGGTGTTTCTGTGTGAACAGCAATAAAGGTGTTGGACTGTCAAAAATCAGTAGATATAATCTCTCCTGCAGGACCATGGGTGGCAAAGCCAGCATGTGCTCAGGGATCTGCTGGCCTAATTAACAGAAAATTGTCAGGCCACTGTCTTGGAAAACTTCATAGGTGGTCTTGGTGTCCAACACCCAGAGGGTGGTTGGGGCAGGCTCCCCAGGGAATGGCCTCAAGGCTTTCACAGCTCCAGGAGTGTTAGGACAATGCTCTCAGGCACAGAGAGGGATTGTTGGGGTGGCTGCAGGGGCAGTACTTGGACTCGATAATTGTTGTTGATCCCTTCCTGTTAGTGATTGAGACACGGACTTTGCTAAAGGGGGTGTATGCAAAGTTATTTATTCTAAAATCATTTCTCTATTCCTTTTTTAATTTTTTTTCCCTGTTCTTTTCCTGAGGCCTCAGTTTGCTGTGAACTGAACTCTGTTTGCTAATTTTATCTTATTTACTCAAGATTTTATGTTCACTAAGGCTAACAGCTTGCTGCTGTTCGAGKCCTRCATCCCCACACCTTCCAGCTCGGGAGATTCTGTCATGCTGTGCACTGATGGAAGGAGCAGAAGTTGCCTGCAGAAGCACCGTACACTTTCTTGTCTTTCCCCATCATTAATCCTCAAAGTGCTGGCATAGTGTAATCTGCATCTGCAAGGTGTTGTTATGGAAGTCTTGATGTAGTCTTAAAAAAAAATATTAATCTATGAGCCCTCCAGAAAGTGCTCAGCCACCYTCTGCAGGCACTGCTGGTTCCAAGAGGTAGCTTGAAGTTAAATGTTCTTTAACATTTCACTCATAAACAGAGTGGGAACCAATGTGGAGAAGCTGAAGGACAGAAAGCCCATGGGTATAAAAAGCTCTGAGTTGTAATGTGACAGCTATGCTAAGAATTGTGAGATGTTTAAGATATAATTACTATATATTAATGAATAAGAAATGCACAAAAAGCATGATGAGCCTGCCAGAGAAATAAACCACAGAGTACTGGCTGGCCTGATTTTTTTTTTTTTTTTTGTCCAGTGTTCATGCATACTGATCAAAATTTGGGTTAGTTTCTTGAGAGCTGTTGCCAAGTTTTGTCAATCAGGGCTTTTTAGATGCTGTAGATTTAACCCTCAGTGTGCCATTTTGGTGGCCAATTTCCCAGGTACTGAAGGTGGATAATATTCTGCCATGTCCCACTGAACCGATGCATTTAGACTTCCTCAGGAAAAAACCTCTTGAGTACTTCTAAAATATTTATTTATCTAAGATTCATCTTACTGAATTGACTGTTTGCTGAAACAGGCAGGACTGTGTTGGCCTGGCATGAGATAATATGTTTGACTTCAGTCTTTCATTGCTATGGTATGATATTTGAGATGCGTGGCTTTTTTCATTTTTTCTATAATACCAGGGGAAAATAATTTCAAATGGAGAGAGAATTTTGCTGAACATCTGGGAGCAAAATGGGAAAAAAATTGATAAATGACATCTTGCTGACATGTAATAACAACTAGCTCAGTGAAGGAATCAAGGGCCCTGCAAGTWAAAGGATTTTTTTTAAGTGTGGTTSAATTAGAAATACAGCTCCATGCATACATGTGACAGTAACGGATTATTCCAATTGCCAGATTCTAAAAAGCAAAAAAAATTCAGTCTTCAGTCATGCAGTAATCTTAATTTCAAGAGCAGCCGTGTCTGTATACAACAGATACAGACATTTTTTGACTACTTAAGTCAGCAGAGGAGATTTTTGTTCAAAGTTCATTTTCTTTTCAGAGGTTGACCACTATATTAAATATATGGAAATATTTAATACACTAAGTATGGCATCATCAGCTTATATTGATAACCCAACTGCATACGATTAAATTCTTCCAGGTATTGACTATCCACCTGTTCTTCATTTTAGCCATTTTGTGTCTGAGACACATTGAGTTGAAAACCTGCACATTATTTAGATTTTTTCCATTGCACATGGATACCTTTATGCATAAGCTTAAATGCTGTCAAATGAGCCAAAATCTCCTCACATACACAAGTGTAAACTGGAAGTAACTCAGCAGTCATACCTTGCAAGTAGAGATAAAACTTGGGACATAAAAAWAAGTAATGGTAGCCCAGATATTTTCTGGAGAACAGACTTTAGCCCTACAGAATTTTCCCCTTGCATTACTCTACCAGTCTGATGTCAAATGACATATTGTTCTTCATTTACCATAATTGTCTCTGAAATATAACAGTGAAACAAATTATTAGCAAAACACTGAGCTGTCAGAAGCAATCACTGGTTTCAGATCTAAATGGGGTGCTTTCYCTGYTCCAAAGCAACTTGTGTCTGTATCCTGTAGAACTTCTTTGTGAAACATCCAGGTCAGTGTTGTAGCTGAGAAGATCTGACCTGTCCCTCCAGCATGAGGTGGACAGCAAGGACCCCTCAGTGCTTTCCTTCCAAACCAGGTCTCCACCAACTTCGGTGGTCATTGAGGGTGGTCCTGACCACTGCACATCAGCCATAGCAAATACTGGATGAGAAATTCCCTGTCAGCTGCTAAAAATCACTGTAGGAGCTGCCYGGTGGTGTGCCACAGAGCTTAGGCAAAGCGGAAGGTGTATGAACAGCCCTCCCTCCACTTCCCTTCACCCTCCACTTCCCTCCCTCATCCCTCCCTCCCTCCCTTCCTCCTGCCCAACCTGCTCCTAACTCTTGCTTGAGCAGCCTCTGCCTGCTTCAGGAGTATCAAGAATAAAATTGGAAGGCAGAGATTTTCAGTTGTTACAGTCATTATGTCATGGTAATAGATGGGAAAGGTGGTTCCAGGAAACTCCATGCACCTTGAAATGGAACATCTTTCCCTTGATGTGCATCTGGAGGGCTCTGAGAGGCTTCTGCTGTCTCCATGGTCTCTGTCCACTGGCCTTCCCRTGGGAGTGCTCAGTAAGTAGCAGGACCAGTAGCATGGCACTGTCTTGTTTGTTTGTTAAAATGCTGATTCATTAAATCTTCTGTAGCATAAAATGTTAAATCATCTTGCGTGAATAGATTTTATCATGTAGTCATTTATCACATGATCACCTAAAATCTGTCTGCAGTCAGGCTACACTGAGTTTACTGTCAGTCTGACTGTTTGGAATTATGAAACAAAATTATGAAATTATAATAATTGAATTATTATTTGTTTTGGTACTTTTCCTGCATATCCACTATAAGTGGGATCCTACCCCAAAACCTCAGACGTAACATCAGTAGAAAATATTTTTTCTGTAAATACATCTTACTCTTTCTGTGAATAAATYTCTGCTTATTACTAGTATTACTGTTTTACGCAGATAAAACTGAATGGCTTTAGACTTCTCTGGATGGCAGAATGCRTTCAGCTTTTCCAGTAATATTATTATAAAATAGATCCTGCAGAAGCCTGAAGGAATTCTGAGCAGGCAGTTAGTGCTGCCTGAATTTTCCCATCAGCCATGTTTAAASTCAGATTGGGTTGTGACATTAAATAACATCATATGGTGTGTTCGCCGCCCCTTGCTCCAGCTGGAGATTCCAGTAGTTTCTTACAATATTTGATTGATTTTGGAGTGGTTTATAGGTTCTGGGAAGGTAGGTGATGTTGGAAAAACCTTAGTGTTTGTCCTTTAAAGACCAGAAGTGCAACATTTGCAAGGACAGTTTGTATTAATATTAAACTGGGGTCAGGGAACTAGGGAGGTTTAGTCTGGGTTAAAGCAGGCTCAGGGAGGACCTTCTGGCTCTGCACAACTCCCTGACAGGGAGGGGGCAGCAGGTGTGGGTGTGGCTCTGCCCCAGGGAACAGGGACAGTGCTAGAAGAAACGGCCGCACATTGTGCCAGGGGAGGTTTAGGTTGGTCATTAGGGAAAGTTTCTTTATTGAAAGTCTTGTCAGGCATTGGAAGGGGCTGCCCAGGGAAGATGGTTGGAGTCACCATGCCTGGAAGTGTTCAGAAAACCTATGGATGTGACACTTGAGGACATGGTTTAATGGTGAACACAGTGGTGGTGCTGGTTGGACTGGATGATCCTAAAGATCTTTTCCTACCATAACGATTCCATGATTCCATGTATGTGTATGGAAATGTAAYTGTGCATGTCTAAAAGCTGTGTCAGACCTGTTGAGAAAAGAGCTTGGAATCAAACTATACTTCAGTTTTTGTGGTCTTGTGCAAACTATTTTTGTCCTCTGGGTAATTTTCTTTCTAAGGGGATGCCAAAAGCATCAATGCAAACAATCAAAGCTCCATAAAACCCATTTACCATTTTCATTGTGTCCCCRAACCTTCAAAACCAGAGATTAAAGCACCTGCAGATGCAGACAGGACATTCCACACGTGACATGTTTTCCGGTATCCTTTCATTCTGATTCTTCCTTTCTTTTTTTTAATTACAGTTCTTTGAGGTTCCGTTTGACTCAAATATGAACAGGACTAAAAACAGACCACTGGTGCGAGGACAGATCAGGTAAGGCAATGCACACCTGCTCTGGCTRAGGAGGAATAAGCCTTTTATCTATTTCCAAGTTTTTCTCCCTCTTCAGATGACAAAAAGCAGCACTTTGAGACAAAGCACTCAAGAGAGAAATGCACCTCTCTGTTCCTTGCTATTTCTTTACATGKGTAACTTTCATGTGAGGAGCTTGCACAATCTGCTGTAAAATACTGAATTTCTCAATACAGTAGAATTTCCCCTCATATTGCATATCTCTTTATGTGTGATGACTGTGTTCATGGTGTGGCAGTTATGTTCCACTGAGCTTTTATTTTGTAATAATAATCTTAAAATTTTCCCATCTAAGAACAAACATGAAAGTGGATGTTGCTTCTACATGTTTAACTGGGTGAAAACTGACAACCGTGGCATCTTAGGAAATTAATGTAAAAATTTGTCATCATAAAGTTTATCGTCATCCATAAATAAATTCCTCCCCCTTGCCAAAAAARTCCTTCATTAGCATAGGAATTTCCTTAAAAAGAAAAAAGAGTCTTCCATTCCCTCTGTTTTCTGGATTATGTATCAGTTCAGTTTCTCAAAGGCTGTTTGGCAGCTAGAAAAGCAAAGTGAAAAAGAACATCAACAAAAAACCTCTAACTTACTTGCAAACTGAAACTGAAGGCKCAATTCATAAATGATTCAGCAAACAATTTTAGTATTGCATTTCCATGATTATTTGTAACAAAATTATGTTTTCCCTGAGGCTTCTGTGAACAGTTGGTCCTGTTTATTTCTGTGTTTTATCCATCACCTTTGGAGGACTGAAAAAAACATGATAGTTGAAATTACAAGAAAATTGAGACAAAACAGTCAAGTGAACCTTAGGGGTAAATTCACTTTCATGGTAAATAGTTAGAGTGCTTCAATAAACTTGTTCTGATTTGTTSTCAAAGGTGGTGCTAATTGCAGATTCACGAACTGAGTTAATTTTATTTTAAAACATATTTTAGGGACCACTGCAGTGAGGGCATCTGTTGTATATACAGTAAGCCAGGCTTAATTGTGTGGTTCAGGGAACCTGCACTTCTGCCTCCCTTGCATGTGGTCCTTAGGCCCTGGGAGAAGGAATGCTTATTAGGAAGAAAAATGATGGGGGGATTTTTTTATTTTATTTTTATTATAGTCTGCTAGCATGGCTTGCAGTGCTTCCAGAGTCAAAAATGTAACTAGGAAACTTACTGTCAACTTTTGATTCAGAAAAGGCAATTTATTTTATGTTTCCAGTGTCCTTAAATGAACTTCACTGTCATCTAAATGCACCACAGATTGGCAAAACCATATTTCATGCATTTTTTTACTTCCCCTCCTTTCATACTTGCTTTCACCACAAAATGGTAATGCTGGGGATGTTGGGCAATCACTCATCAATCTATCTACCTGCCTGTCAACAGCTAATTTAAAGTTCTTTAAAGTGTCACTTCCCTTGAATAATGCTGCTCTCGCTCCCTGCGAGACCATGGAACACACAGACCTTGACTGGGGTTATTTCTTCTGTGGTGTGCCAGAGGAGAATAATCCAGTGCAAGTGATCTAACCTTTTTGTATTTTGCCATGTATTCCCTGGTGTTCCTTGAACTCTTTCCTTCCTGGCTGATTATTAAAACCTGTAAATGGTTGTGCTAAAACCAGTCAAAACCAGTCGAGACAGGGATGGATAAATAGTACATAAGAGACTGGTGTCATGGCTCTGGGAAAGAATCCAAGCCGTTTGGGGAGTTCTTGCCCAAAATTTGTCTGACATTTGAGTTTTGACATTTTCTTCTCTTTAGCTGCTTCATGTAACAAAATACTTGCTGCTTTTCTAATTCTGCTGTGCTACAACACCTGTGCTATCCAGTAAAAACGAGACATCATTTTCTAATCTGTCTTCATTTGTGCTGTTTGTAAAAACATTCTCTTTYTCTTCTTCCTTTCCTTGCTTTTTATTGATTTGGTGTAGCTCTTGTTACAGAACTGGACAATATGGGTAGCAGTTTTCGTCCTGAGCTTGAGATCCCTTTTGAAGAGAGAAGGCTGGTAAYTCTTCATCATGTTGGCTCTGCACCTCCTTGGAAAGGCTTTCAGTGGTGTCTTTGGKGTGACTCCTGCCCACTGAAAATTGCACTGAGGCCACTGAGAGTTTTTCTAGAGGTTGTGCCATCACAAAGAGAATTCTTACATGCTTTTTGACATAGGCCAGAACAAACTGGTAACCCCAGTGAGAGGTTCCTGGAGTTACTGAGTCATGCAGTCCCTGGATGAGCTGGTGTCTCCATTTTAGGTGAGATAATTCACAGAGCTGACTTGTTAGGAAATGTTAAACCTTTGTAGAGAAACTATTCCCATGTGTTTCACTTTGTGGCCTCTGTTTGCAGCTTCAGTCTCCAGTTTGTTTAAGTCCAGATGTCTGTTTGAACTGATCTTGCTTCCAACGTTTCTCTCCTTCCTTTCTGCCTGAAGCCTTCACTTTGAAGGCTCTGTGTCAGAGGTTCATTTCCCTACATACACATTYGTGTGGTTCCARACTCCTACATCTCACCCTTTTSTATGAGTTGCTGAGGACTTGCAGTTTCCTTTGGCATTGATGAGGAACCTCAGTGGCTTTCAAAGAAAGGCTCTATGGTCAGGGCTGTACTGTGGGGTGTGGAGGTCTGGCTAGAGACAATACTGTTCTTTTACTGGTGATCTTCAAGTAGTGTCTCTGTTAGGCAGCTTTGACCTGCCCATCACTTCCTGTGAGCCAGGACCGGTTCTGCAAAGATCTCTGTAAGGATGGGATTTGGCAAAGTAATTTTCMTTCATCCTTTGGGAAGTCTCTGTATTGCATCATCTTGATGACTAAGACAATTACTTAGGGGCTCAGTGTGCCMCTGCTTTATATTTTGTATATTTGGGCTGGACAGTCCACAAAGGCAATGACACAGAAGGACTCTGCAGAGCTGCAGCTGCTGAACGTAGGCACAAGAGCACATTTGCCTTATTTGCAAGCCCCAAACCTGCCTCTGATGCTCCCAGGGAATCTTCTGACTCTGTTGGGAGATTTGTGACAAACTACACCAGATAGTGTAGTTTGGTTTGCAATATCCTATTTAGTTTGTTAGGCTTGGAAAAAATCTGCTCTGAGCAATGAGACGTAACCATCCTTATTGTCTATTCCGAGTAATCAGAGACATCCTGTTGCAAAAACAACAAGAGTAGACCCAAACACAGCATGCCACCGAGTGCCATCCATCATCCTGCCTGCCCACACGTCCTCCTCCCTCCTCCAACTCCTCAAGTCTTGTTTAGACATACAAACAGCTTGAGATGTTCTTCATACTTGGGTTGCAGTGTTAAACTCATTGAGCATATTTGTGTTCTGCATTATAATAACAGCTGATATTGAGTTTCCTTTTCTAAATCGGATTTGTGTCATTGACAAGGAAAAATTTCATGTGCTCACGCATGAATCTTAAATTCAACTGAAGTGGCAGCAGCTTTCCCTGGTTTCCTGCTGGGTGTGATTTATTCCTGTGCTTGTTAAGGTAATGGATTTAATTTTCCTGCAGATTAATTTAAATAAATCTGGTATGAGCTGCAGTAGCTGAGGGAGATCAACCTCAAGGGTGACAACCGTCCTGCTCTGTTATGTTGTACAAAGTGACAGGTTTGATCACCCTTTACCCAGAGCTGCACACACTTCTGCTAAAAAGTGGCTGTTTTATGAACTTACGGTGGTGCTGGGTCCGCTGTGCTAATCACTCATAAAAATCTTTATAGTTGTACAAGGATAGCTTTTCATCTTAAAAGAAAAAGGGACCTTGAACAGTATGTTCTGAAAAACCAATTCATGCCTGTGTAGACATTGTTCAGTTCTGCTCCTGTGGTATTTTGCAGCTTACAACTATTTTCTGTACCCAGTCCTTTGGYTTTGGCCTCAGCAGTGGCTGCCTGGGGGTGAGGCTGGGGCTTGTCCTTCACTTCCCTGGACTTGAAATCAGCTCASAATGAAGCATTGCACAGGCAGCTTTAGAGGATGGTCCAGGCTGAAAGGGGCCTCAGGAGAGATGGAGACCCATCTCCTGCTCACAGCAGTACTGGCTCTCAGGTAAGACCTGCAGCAACCAGGTCTTGTCGCAAAACCCTTCAGTGTAATGGCTTCAAACTGYGAAAGAGTAGGTTTAGATTGCATCTTAGGAAGAAATTTTTCCCTGGGAAGGTGGTGAGGCCCAGGCTTGGGGTGCCCAGAGAAGCTGCCCTATCYCTGGAAGTGTCCAAGGCCAGACTGGACCWGGCTTGAAGCACCTTGGGATGGTGGAAGGTGTCMCTGCCYATGCAAGAGGGTGGAAAGAKATGATCTTTAGGGTCCCTTCCARCCCAAATCAWTCTGGGATTCTTTAAGACTGAAGTGGAATGTGTTGATAGTCTCCTTATTTTGATTATTTGCCCTCAAGGTAATTTTTCATGCACGTTTTAGAAGTTTAACTCTGCTAAAATGTCAGAAGGTGGCACAACAGAGCTAATGCCCTGAATGTTTCAACAGAAATGAATCTTTGTGTCGTTTGGTGAATATTTTTCCAAGAATCCCATTAACCTCTTCCCTTAGCAACGCCCAAGGAGCTGTATTCTGTCTGTGAGCTTTCCACTTCTCATGGTCACAGTCAATGATTATTGCAGTTAATGGAGGCAGAAATGCTGACATTTCTGAGTGCAATGTTGACTTGGCTCAGTTTAAACTATAAGCCAAACTCTTGAAGAATCAGACCAAAGAGGGCTCCTGTGCTAGTGCTGTTTCTCACCAATGGCTTGTATTTGTGAATTGTAGTTAAAATTCCATATACACAAGTAGGACGGTTCATGAACAAATAGAAAACTGCAACATGTGAAATTTTATTTATTCAGAAACACATTGTAACTCAAGACTAGTTCTATGTAAAGCTGAGTTTTTCCACTCTGTTGCCTATAGCAGTCCTACTATTACAAGCGTAACACAGCCAGTCCACACTGCAAAA